CTAAGGTGACAAAGTGTCAGGAAGCAGTAGAATTCCAGACTTTTCATTTGACCTCCATTAACTGAGTGATGGAGGCAGCTCAGTACTGCTGGGCAAAGGGTGAAGTTCAAGCTCCCTCTTGGCCTCTTCTCCATAGGATTGGAGGAGGGGCAACGAATGCCTGGAGCTCAAGCTTCCTTTGCCACTGACACCAGGTGTGGGATAGGGTAGATCTATAAGCAAAGTCTCAACTACTTACTTGGCCTATTTTGGCACTCTCTCAGAGTGATGGGGTTGTTAGGTTACTAAATCAGGTGAAGTGTATATGTCTAATGTTCCTTGCTTGGTGTGTGTATACGGACCACAGTTTGTCTCTGGTTTTGGCTGACAGGTGTTATTTCAGTCTTGGTAGCTGTGCTCCTTATTCTTTGGAATACTGTCCTGGTTAGTTTATTGACTGCCAACCTCACTCAACCTCCAGTCACCTGGGAAGAGGGAACCCCAACTGAAGAATTTCTTCAATCAGGTTGACCTGTGGCCAAATCTGTGAGTAGTTGTCTGGATTGATGTGGAAGGCTCTAGCCCACCATAGGTGGTACAATCCCTAGCCACTTTGGCCTGGGCTATAAAAGAAAGCTAGCTGAACAAGCCAGAAAGTGAGGTAGTAAGGAACATTCCTCCATGGTTCCGGCTTGAGTCCTTGCATGACTTCTCTCAAAGATGGATTGTGGATACTAATGCATCCCTTAACACTCACCAGTGAAGCTTCCTCATACGACACAGTGTGATGCACACAGAAGGCCACAACTGGCTAAGCATTAGAGAATAAGAGACTATAGAGTGTGTTCCTGAATGGCATTCCTATATTAAACCTCACCCACCCATAGCTCAGGGACCATTATGAAGAAGGGGCAGAAAGATTGTTAGATCCAGGGTTGGTGCACGAATATAAGGAAACAGAGGTTTTCAGGCAACTAGGAATTTGCTCATATGTGTGTGTAACAATGGTGACAGCATGCACAACACCCATCCTGACTCAGTCAGACAAAATCTCAGCATAGAACAAGGGAAATGGGCACAAGGTCCCAACCCTCGCCCAGGAATTATTGGCAACTGATTACTGCTGGGTGAGGGAGAGTAGATCTTTGAAGGAGAGACGCTAGATAGGCTGACTAGACCCCAGTGGATGAACTTGCACAAAGAGACCTCTGGGTATAACTGCTTGACTGGATATGACTTGGCATACATGACAAATGCTTGAAATCTGGTGGGGAGGGTATGGGGGGCACAGATTGGGGAGGATTGTCTAAATTTGATTAAGATCTATTTATACGAAATGCACAAAAGCTCATTAAAATATTTTTAAAGGAAAAAAAATAGGGCTGGAAAAAATGAGATGACTCAGAGGTTAAGAGCACTGGCTGCTCTTGCAGAGGACCCAGGTTTGCTTCCCACCATCCATATGGCAGCAAACCACCATCCATAACTCCAGGGGATCTAATACCCTCTTCTGATCTCCTAGGGCCTTGCACAGCTTGGGTACACTTACACACATGCAGGTAATAAAATTGTACACATAATATAAAAATAATAAAATATTTTTTAATAAAAGAAAAAAAGAAATGTTAAATGTGAGAAAATTTGAGATTCATAAAATACATAACACTTAAAACATGCAGAATGGGTATGATTATACTAGTTAACAGAAATGTTGTTTTTTGAAGTAGTAGTACAAGTAATAATCATAATACCTAATAATTATGAAGCTATTATTTAGGCTAGAAACTTTCTAACATTTTTAAACTAGCTCATAGAGATTCTCATGGAAACATCCCAGTGTCCTAGGAGATAACTATTATTTTTTTTTTACTTATAGGAAAATCGACGCATAGGAAGGATAAACCACAGCTAGTGAATGTAAGTAGAACTCAGATCCACATGGAGCTGAATACAAAGGGCACCTTCTCCCTGTTCACATTAGCCACTCTGTGCTGGGGGGCAGAGCTCGATGCTACAGCACTTGCCTAACAAGCTTGAGAACCTTCATCCTATTTTCACCATAACACAGCGCACACACACACACACACACACACACACACACACACACACACATTCGTCAATAAAGTATGCTGTACTTTCACTAAAAACAGTTAATAAGTACAATAACTTGTATAGAAGACAATTAGATATTTACTTTTTTTTCCATTGACATCGGGTTTCGTGTAGCACAGTCTGGCCTCAAACTTGCTATGTAGCTGAGGACTTTGAAGCACTGAACTCCTACTTCCACTTCTCCAGTGCTGGGATTACAGTTACATGCTACATGCCTTTGGTTTATGTGGTGCTGTAATTAAATCCAGGGTGTCATGCATGCTAAGCAAGCACTCTACAAATATTTAATTTGAAGACAGAGGAATTACATGCAATTTAATGTTTAAAATGACATGAGATCATGTCATTTTGGGATCACGCTCTATAATTTCCTTAAGAGCTGCCCCTCCCATTTCACAGGACTGCTCTTCATGCTGCCTGTGCTCATGGCCATCTGAAAGTGTTGACTGCCCTGTACAGACAGAACATGTGAGACTGATGCCATTGACAGTGATGAATGCACTGGTCTAACGACGTACACAACAGCAAAGGATTTAGGAATGAGCTGGCCTTGATTTAAACCTTGGCATGAAAATGAATCCGTGTCACTGTGTCTTTTCAATATAAACAGCTGGTGAAACCTGTCAAAAAAAAAAGATGGATTTTGACCCTAAAAGTGTAAGATGCAGTAAACCTTTTCTTTTTGGAACCCATGCAAAAAATGAAAGACAGGAAATTAGCAATATCAAATATTATAAATGGTAATGAGGTATAATTTTTCAGTCTAAGAGGAATCTGTTGTTTTATTTTCTGAACTTAATCAAAGCACAAAAATTACAATGCAATGAGTGGTTTTGATAAACATATGCATTATGAAATTATTACATCAAGATGCTGAATATAATACCTGAGATGTTTATGTTTTGTGAAAAGAACACTAAGGTCAACTTACAACAACTTGAAAGCACATCACACTTCTATTGATTATGATCAACATGATTTACAATAGTAGTTCTCCAAAGCTTTTCATCCTTAGTTATTTATTCTTTGTAAATTGTTTCTCCATCCCAGTCCCTGCCACTAGAAAATAGTATTCTTCTCTCTGCTCCTATGAATTAGATATTTGTTTCTATACACAAATGTGAGCATGTGGCATTATCTTAACACACTTTTAGGAAAAGTTCTTCCAGGCCCATCCATATAGTCACAAATGATAAAATTCCCTTCTTTGTAAGACTTACTACCATTGATTATAAATGAACAGTGCATCTTTATACACTCATCCATCAATAGACACTCAGACTGACTCCATAACAAGGCAGACAACTCCATGACACTGTCACTGTCATATGTACTGAGAGGAGATATTTCTAAATCATACAGTTGTATGAATATATGTTCCTGCCAACAGTATGCACAAAGATTTCCTTTTCCCCAGCTGAACTCATACCTAATTATGTCTTTTTATAAGAGCCGCTCTGCCAGGAATTAGGTAATATCAAATTGTACTTAACTTGCCTTTGCCTGATAATTAATGATTTTGAGTCATTTTATGCATCCATTTGTATATGTATATAATTTAAGGATGTCATTCCACATTCTTTGTCTATTTTTTAATCAGATTACTTAATTCTCAAAATTTAACTGTGTGCATTCTTTAAATGCACATTTGAATGTGTGTGTGTGTGTGTGTGTGTGTGTGTGTGTGTATGTGTGTGTAGAAGCCTGGGATGTAGCTCAGTTGGTAACATGCTTTCCTAACATGCATGAACTCTGAATTCAATCCCCAGCACTGCCAAAAAATTAAATTATATACATACATAAAATCAAATATAAATGATGAGGTTATAACTAAAACTTTTAAAAGGAATTTGTTGTTTTAGTTTCAAGATTATTAACATATAGTATATTATATAGTCAATAAATTATATATTTGTATTTATAATTTATAAATAAAAATACATTTTAACAGATAAAGATTATTCATAGGCTATAAGGATGGTTCTGGTCAGGAGACGTTAACTTATCCTAAGGTGATACCCATCCATCTCAACTTTAATGAGTTAAACAATACTGCATGATCTTATACTACCAGCCACTAAGAGGAGAGGAAAGAGATGAACATCTGCTCAAAGATCAAAATCATTATTTATGTAGAGGACCCAGAATGAATGAATGTTCTCTCTGCCATAATAAGCAAGGTATAGGGATCAATGTACCTTGTGAATTTTAGTAGTTTAGTCAACTTTATTGTGGTGATTACTACACAGTATATACATATTTCAAATGATCACACTGCATAACCTCAATACCTATGATCTTTATTTGAACATAAAATCCTTTAAATTATAAAAGGATAACCAAATAAAGACAAGAAGTAAGACACAAACTCATTCCAATTTCCTTTCTCTTTCCTCAGCGTGCTATCTGACGGGTCTATTGACTAAGCAATTGGTTTAGCTGTGTTAATGGTGATCAAAGAATCCACAACAGGAATATATCCAAGGCTTTCTTCCTAAATTCATCATACTCCAAAATCATTCTGAGTTTTGTAGTAAATGAAGCTGCTGATAATAATGCACTTGCACATGCTAATAGGAAAATATTTATTTTCACTACTTTAGCACTAACATTTCTTTTTGAAAATGACTAAGATCATATTATGTCTTTACACTGTATATTTTTTTCAGGACAATCAACAGTATCTAGTATCACTTACGAATGTATTTGTAAAGTCAGTCTTTACACTGATTCCAACATTCCCAGTATTACCCTTAAAGACAGACAGACCTCCAATTTGGTCAAAAGATGTTATTAGACATAACATCCTAATTTTCCATCTAGTTTCCTACTGGAAGAGATATGCAATAGCTCTATTTTCAGCAGAGAAGAAAATGGATTCTGAAATACATTCTTCAGCATGCAATTAACTAATGATATTTCTTAAGGAAAATCCTCAGGACTCGTTCCCAAATCTGCTTGGTTCTTACCCCATAGATCACAGGATTGAGAGCTGGTGGGACAACCACATAGAGGTTGGCCAAGAGAATGTGAATGTATTGGGGCACATTATGGCCAAAGCGATGTGTCAAGAAAGAGAAAAAGGCTGGTGTGAAGAAGGCTAAAATAACACCCATGTGGGATCCACAGGCGTTGAGAGCCTTGAGCCTGGCTTCCCAGGAGGGCAGGCAGAACACAGCATGGAGGATCCTGACATAGGACAGAATGATAAGGACTACATCCAACAGCAAGAGAGCGATATCAAAAAGACCAAACATGATGTTGGCCTTGATGCTGGCACAGGCTAGCCGGGCAATGCCCATGTGCTCACAGTAGGTATGAGGGATGATGTGGTGTCCACAGTAGGGCAATCTCAGGAGAAGAAACACTAATGGAGCCACCATGCACAGACTCCGCAGCACAGCAATGCCCCCGATGATGCCAATGACTTTGCTGGTGAGGATCACAGTGTATTGAAGGGGTTTACAAATGGCAATATAGCGGTCAAAGCCCATGGCCACCAACAGAATGCTCTCCATGGCTGTGAAGAAGTGGATGAAGAACATCTGAGAAAGGCAGCTTCCAAAAGATATTTCCCTGAGACTGAACCAGAAGATGCCCAGCATTTTGGGGATGGTGGCTGTGGATAGACCCAGGTCAATGGAATCCAACATGGCCAGGAAATAGTACATGGGCTCATGGAGACTGTGTTCAGTTTGGATCACAAATAAAACAGCAACATTCCCCAGAATGGCAATGATATAGACAAAGAAAAGGGGGAATCCAATCAAGACGTGTGCATGTTCTAGACCCGGGATGCCCAGCAGTAGGAATGAGGAAGGATGGAGCTGGGTGTCATTAGACATGAATGTTCTCTCTGCCATAAGCAGCAATTATTGGTTTCCCAGTACTTAGTCTTCCTCCATTTCTTTATTCCAGTTCCTGGCAATAGGACAAATATGACTTTAGTCTCCCCTATTCATGATCACAAAATGTTAAAACACTGTCTTCAACGTGTCCAAGTTTGAGTATCACATGACACCAACTGCAGAATCATCACTATTTCACTCACCGTTCTTGCAGGGACAAAGACTGATGCAAAGAAGAGAGGGTGTCTGTACCTGCACAGTGTAGCCAAATACAAGGGGGAGGTAAAGCTTGAGGGTCTGAGTACATGGTACTGTTACAGATGCTTTTGCTTGTTATGAATGGTGGTTACTCTAGTGTTTGTTACCACTATTCCCCTATTTGGGAAACTGTAATGTATTCTGTATAATCTTGTCTCTGTGTGGTTTTTCATTTTATGAATATTTGTGAATATTTAAGAGGGTCTCGACAAATGAGCATTAATCAGGCAATTTGAATGCAAATGTAAATAAAACTAGTCACATAACATTTTCTGGTTGGATTTATGGCCCATTCCACAAGGTGGAGCCAACACCTGATGTCAGTTGTAGGCCCTAGAGGAGATCTTACTGCTATTATTCTGCCAAATGAACACAGTATTAAACCAATACCTAATCCTTTATCATTATACCCATAGATTAGTGCACCTCTCAACTCTTATCAGAGAAGCCTCTTCTTGCAGTAGATGATAATTAACATGGACTCCCACAACTGGTCAAGGTGCAGAAAATAAGGGACTGTGGAATGCTTAGGCCTAAATCAGACAGTCAAACGTCTACACCACACCCCTTCCCCTAAGGCTTGGGGAACCTTGCGGAAGAGGGAGCTCAGGGCTCCATGCCAAAGAGGGAGTGGATAGATTGTAAGAGTCAGGGGTGGTAGATAACTTCAATGAAACTGTGTCTTCCGGAAACAGTAGGGCAGTTACACATATGAACCACATAGTGGTTGTGACATCATACACAAGACCTGCCCAAGCTCAAGCCAGCCAAAATCCAAGCATGGAATGGGTAGGTGGGCATGAAGCCCCATCCCTAGCTGAGGAGCTGTTGACAATTGAGAGAAATAGTCAGTTTTCTTTTAGGGTATGGTGCTGAATATGCTGATCAGGCTTCAGGGGATGGACCCACACCCAAGAGTATTTGGAGAACACAAACTACACTTGATGGACTTAAAAACAAGAGGAAATAATATATAGTGGCTAGGGAAGTGGGTGTAGATCTCAGATGAGATGGGGAAAGGGGCTGAATATGGCCAAAATGCATTATATGAAATTCTTACAGAATTAATAAAATATTAATTTTTAAAAAGTAAATGCAAGTTTTATAAAAACAGTCACGTACCCTCAAGGAGTACCACTGTGTGGTCAAAGAGATAAGATTCCAAAGATGAAAATTACAAGCTACTTTGCAGAGACTGTAGTAAAAGTTTGCAAAGAACAATGATTAGTGTACAGAGTTGAAAAAAAAATCCCTTAGGGGAGTTTATATTTTATGTAAGATTTACAGAGGGATTCTTTCTATAAAAAAAGAAATGTTATTCAAAGTAGAAAAAGAATTAGAAAATTATATAGGAAACAAGTCCAGTGGCAAGTAACAGCATCAGAAAAATTGCATTCTTATCAAGGACCACATCCCAAGATTCAGTAGGCTGAAGACCAAACTGTTCACTATCTGGTGTTTTGATTACACTTAGAGAATCCACACAGTAGAAACTACAGTATGGAACACATCTCACAAAAATCAACTAAGGACTGGAGCAATGGCTCAATATTTAATAGCACATACTGATCTTCCAGAGGACCCAAGTTTGGATTGCAGCACCCATGTGAGGTGGCTCACAGTTGTCTGTAACTCCACCTCCAGGAGGAACCCACATCTCTGGCCTCCCCAGATACCGGCATTCGCATACCCACACACAGTCAAACACAGATACACACAAATAAAAATAAAATAAACCTTAAAAAATAAACAGAAATCCACTAACTGATCCACTTATCCCTGTAGAATTTCTAGGAGGCCTTGAAAGAAGTTATTTCTTTTCTCTTTGGGAATATTTCATTTCCAAGTCCATAAATATCATTTGAAGAAAAATCAAGTATCTCATCATTTTATAACTATCTCTTGATGCAGGGCCTCAACATTCTGTACACTCATGTGTCCTCCACTCTCTGATCTCAGCTAGCTTCAGTCCACACATGGACCCTCCAAGTATAAGTTGTTCTATACTGTTATCAATTGTCCAGCACCCATCTCATAAGTGTGCCATCTTGTTACTCTACTCTGTCCCACTAATCTCAACCACATCCCACATATCCATACTCCTAGGCACTAAAACTGATGTACAAAGAATAAATAATGTACATCTTCTTCATCATTATTACCTAATCCCGTGGTCACATGGCCATCCATCAACCGTAAACATGGCACCTTTTCTCGGCTGCTTCACCACTAGCTCTGGGTTCCATTTTCAAAAACTTCTCTCTCCAGGCCATGCTTCATGACCCATGTATTCATGAATTCATTAATTTAAAAATGTGTATTGAACTCCCTTTGGTTTACCTCATACACTAAAAGTTTTTGAAAATAGAGAAACCTAGCCTTTGTCCTCTTGCTATTCACATATGTGATAATATATGAAGAGTCATAAAGAAAACCTAAATTGGTATGAGGTGTATTGGCATAAATCCTCCCTCATGAGCTGTCCCTTTTTAGTTTTACATGTGAGACTTTGCACAGTCTGCAAGGTCATAGCTCTAACCATGTGAAACCATGGGAGGTTGTGAACAGAACTATGCATCCTCTCTGCATCTCGCTTTTGTACTTTCTCCATCTCTCTTAATATTACTTCACAGCCTAATCATTATGTAACTTACCTTGGTCTAAATTTCTATGAACATCCCTTGGCACATTTCTGGGGCACACTATTTGTTATGCTGAGTGAAATGTATTTATACATACTTTTCTGGCCCTGATATCCCTAGAATAGAAATCGCTATGGTATCTTGGGACTCTTGGTAGAGCATAGTTAATAGACTCTGGAGAATTTGTCCTCTCAGGGAAGATTCTCTACATGTAAGTTTTGTCTATTTTATTTATATGGATGGAGTTCTATGCATGTGACACACCAGGGTAAAAGCTTATCACTGATCTCTTGCTTCTCCCTAATCCTCTACTTATTTACTTGCACTGATAGAATATATTTAACTTATGAGTCCCGAATTAAATTATTAAACTCCTGGTAAATGCCTAATATTTTTCTCTTTATCCTCCTGTCCCATCTTCAGTTTTTTTCTTGTTCACTTGCTTTTTTTCTTTCTCTCTCTCTCTCCTACAAACTTCTCTCCCCAGTCCCGATAAAATGCTTAATTTTCTATTTAAAATTTCCTTGAGGTAGTTTATCGTGTATCAACCTGCAGTCACTTGTTTATTCATTTCACTCTGCTCTCAGAATTAAACAACACAAATCTCGGGATTGTCCTTCTGTTCTTTGGTGTGCCCTTCCTAGCTAACACCTAGGACTCATTCTACCTTTAACTCCAGTCACATAAGCTACATGCTGTTCACCAAATGTTCTAAGCTCATTCAGGAACTTAGAGTGACTCTGGAGCATGTTTCCTTAAAACCTTCAGATGACTCACTCACTCAAGCGCTATTCAAATATCTCCTCTAGTAAAAGTCTTTCCTGGGAGTCAATATATATGTATCTTCCTCCCAACTGTCTCCATTTTCTTATCTTTTTTTAAACATAATATTTTTATTTCATTAAATTACGCAATTTTAAATGCTTTCTTACTAAAACATTAGGTTCATGTTGTGTACACAGTGAATGACTATATTTTCATTCTCATATTTCATCCTCAGTTGCTATAACACTGTTCATGTTTATGATCTGTCTAACCATAGGTTCTTGGTCCCAATAATGATGCCAGATGTGAGACATTGTTGCCAGAGTTCTACCGGGGTCTCTTGTGCAATCAGACAAACCATATATTTTTATGTGAATTTATTAAGGTTTATGCCCTTGGGTACTGAGGGGGTAAATGGGGGGGGCTTACATAGAAACGCACACCCTACACCCAGCTCTGCGTGGCTCAGCCTGTCATTCCAGATCGCTTTCTTACCTGCCCACAGTCTCCCTTAACTTTAGCCCATGCATCTTCGGCCTGCAGTCTCACCCCAGGTCAGTAAATGCCCCCTCTCTCATCCACACAGGTGAGCCACCAGGGCCATCATTTTCTCCACACCTGCTGCCATGCATTCATGGTGGCTCACCACTTCCATCACAAGACGCTCCGAGAAGCCCCTCTGCAGTCAGTTCTCTGCAGCAGGCCCCACCCCTTGGAGGAAGCAGGCAGCTTGGGACACACTCCACCCCTTTCATCCACTCTTACAATCTTCCCTCCAATCTTCCTCTAAGGTCCCTGAGCCTTGGAGGGGGTAGAAGATGTAGGGTGATCTCTCTTATATCATGGCAAGATAGTGACTTCTTGGGCTATGGCCATTGAGCTATCTAAGTAGTGTTTCTTCTACTATAAAGACAAATGGAAAGAAGTAGACACATTTAAACAAAATGAGTGTTAATACAAATGCCTAGAAGATATCCCAGTAGGTGTAGTATATTCATTAAAGAGTATGCTTGTGATGGCTTCCCTGCTAGGGCCTGTAGCCATTCTCAACACAAGGCATTGGCCTGGTCTACAGCACCAGATGTGTATCCCACCCCTAGAAGCGGGCCTTATCCAATTAGAAATTTACCAGTTGTACAAATATTGGTCGAGCCATTATTGCACTTGCGGGCATTGATTGGCATATCCATAGTGTGCAGCACATGGGGTCCATTTTTTAGTAGAATCATAGGGGATCCTTTCTTCCCCAACCATCTGCATAGTGCCTTCTTGCAATATGAATGTCATCCATCCAGTGGCATGGAGTTTTTTGGCTTAGTCTCAGCTCCATCTCCTCTTCTTCTGCCACGC